ATATATATCTTACTGACCACAAACTCTTGAACAGTAGTTTAGCTTAGATCTGTGTGGATTTACAATAAACCTCTTTCACTGTCTTAGAAAAGGATGCCGAAGGTAAATATAAAAGTCTTGTTAAAATCCCACAAAGTCCTGGGATTTGTAAGTCAGAGGTCACCAATTATTGGAGCGTAGTTCCGGTGTCACAGAATCTCCGTTCCACTTCACTATCGCTCATCCACTGCCTGCTCTCTGTTCCAATCAAATCACAAAATAAAATACAAACAAATGTCTCCTGATAGTGATATACATACCCTGATAGACAGTTGCAATTTTCTTATGGCTATAAAGAAAAGTCAGCCAAAAAACTTTTCAACCCACAACCTCTCACAGTCCATAAAATAAAAATCCTTGAGTCCACAGCAAAATGGACTGACCTCCCAAAAACTGAAATCACCCCTGCAATGTCACCCTATAATTAATGAATACTCTTGTCACACCCCATTGGACTTTTGTTGTGTTTTCATTCCTCGTGTGTTCTGTGTGACCTAGTTTTCCCTCATGTCTGATTATTGTCATTTGGTTCAGGTGTGTGTCATTCATTACCCTCATCAGCCCTCCTATTTAAGTTGTGTTCAGTTCACAGTTTGTCGTCCAGTCTACTACGTCCCTACGTGTGTCTCCTGTCTATTCTGTCCTGGATTTACCCTTGTGTGGATTTATTAAAGACTATTTGCATTCATCTTCTTCGTGCATTTATCTCACCATAGCATGACAGAAGACCGGACCCAAAATTGATAATAAGTACGCGGCGCCTTTCCTCGCGTTTTCTTTTTGTTTTTTGAAAGTTTTTCTTTTTGTTTTTGTTCTGATAGAGCATGCCGCAAGATTCACTGCTCTGGCTCGGAGGAGCCAGAATATCAAGGATTTTGCAAGGGATGCTACTGCACTACCACTTTTGACGACGAGACGCTGAAGTCCCTGTTCACGATCGAGGCGATCGTCTGGTGTCTGGAGAGTGTCCGGCCCCGATCGCAAATGCCGCTCGACCCAGAGCCCAGCCCACCATCACCCCGCTGCGTGGAGCAAGAGCCTGAGCCCACCGCGACCGACGAGCCTGAGCCAAAGAGAGCGACAGTGCTGAGGATCGCCCTGGAGCTAGAACCCGTGACGTCAGACCAGGTGCGAGAGCCAGCTACAGAGCTTGCCTGCACCATGGCTGAGGGTGAGCCGAGCTCAGTGGACTGTAATTCGGATATATATGCAGACATGCCAGCTCTTCTCCCATCTTCGTCTGAAATCTCTGTCTGCCCTGAACTGTCTGCCCATCCCAAACTGTCTATCTGTCCTGTTCCCCTGTCACTGACGCTCCCGGTATGGGAGTCGCGATGTGGTGTGTGTGGGCGGCACACACCGTCCCTGAATCTTCTACCTGTCTGGATTTCCCTCCCACCCTCCCTCTCCTGCCTCCTCCTGTCATCCCGGTTTCTTCAGCTCCCCCACCGCTGTCTCCTGGCAGCTCGTCTGCTTGCCCTCAGCTCACCATCTGTGCGGTGGGATCGCCGCGGGTCTGCCAGTCTACATTGGCGTCATGGCTGGAGGATCCCTTATCTCCACCTCCAGCCTCTGAGTCCTGGACTCCGCCTCAGCCCTTCGACCCAACGGCTCCACAATGGCTTCTAGCTCCCTCCTCTCCACCGTGGCCCGTCAGTCCACCAGCTCCGCGGGGCTCCATCGTCCCTCCGGCTCCGCCTGGGTCTGTCGTCGACAATCTGCCACCTCGGGACTCCACTCCTCCGGCTACACCTCGTCCCTCCGGCTCTGTCAGGCTCCTCCTTCCCTCCGGCTCCACCTTGGTCCTCTGTCGCTCCGGCTCCACCGCGGCCTTCCGGATCCCCGCCTCCGCCTCGGTTGCCGGAGCCATCTGCTCCGCCTTGGCCCTCTGGATCCTCCCCGTCGCCCTGGCTCATCGACTCTCCATCTCCGCCTCGGGCTCCTGGGAGTCCCTGGAGTCATCAGCCCTTCCTCCACCATGGCTCCTCCCTCTATCGGCTCCACCGTGGGCCGCCATCAGGGCTGTGGCCAGGGTCCCGCCTGGCTTCTGCTGCTCCCTCCTGGCTCCTCCCTCCGTCTGATCCACCCTGGACTTTGGTTGTCATCGTCCTCCTCCCGGGTGTCCATCCTCCGCCGGAGCCTCCACCTGTCTTGTCTGCTTGCCTTCCTGCTAGCCCTTTGCCGTCCCCTGTCACCATCCCTTCTCCACTCCTTGTGTCCTCCTCCTCCTAAGTCCCCCTCCGTCCCTCCCTTTGTTCCTGTGGTGCGAGGTCGCGCCTTCCGGGAGGGGGGCGAACTGTCTCACCCCATTGGACTTTTGTTGTGTTTTCATTCCTCATGTGTTCTGTGTGACCTAGTTTTCCCTCATGTCTGATTATTGGAATTTGGTTCAGGTGTGTGTCGTTAATTACCCTCCTCAACCCTCCTATTTAAGTTGTGTTCAGTTCACTGTTTGTCGTCCAGTCCAGTACGTCCCTACGTGTGTCTCCTGCCTATTCTGTCCTGGATTTACCCTTGTGTGGATTTATTAAAGACTATTTGCATTCATCTTCATCTTCATGCATTTATCTCACCGTAGCTGTGACAAACCTATAATTGCTCCTGCAATTACTGCTCTGAAATTCTTATTTTATTTCATAGCCATCTTTGTTCCTAAAACGCAGTATGTTATGTTCTCACATTTGCTGGAAAGAAGTTGAAATTTTAAAGGAATATATGACTATAATTCAAGTCTTCTGAAGCTATGACAATTTTTTTTTGTGTGCAAAACAGACCAAAATAAAACCGTCTGAAGCTATAACACAACCAAAATTTAAGTTGTTATTCACAGAACCATTCTTTCAAGTGTAATCTCTTCACTGAATCTCTTGATCTTGTTCACCAAATCAGCATGAATAAATTATAAATCAATTTTCACCAGTTCTCAAGTTCAAGGGTTAGTTCACCCAAAAATGAAAATTCTGTCATTAATTACTCACCCTCATGTCGTTTCAAACCTGTAAGACCTTCGTTCATATTCGGAACACAAATTAAGATATTTTTGATGGAATCTGAGAGCTGCCGCTACAGGGTGACGTGGAGAAGACGAATTGTTGAATAAAGTCGTTGTTTTTTTTTCTTTTGCGCACAAAATTTATTCTCGTAGCTTCGTAAAATTACGGTTGAACCCCTGATGTCACATGGATTATTTTACAGATCTCCTTGCTACGTTTCTGGACTTGGGAACATTTCAGTTGTATTGCTGTCTATGCAGGGTCAGACAGCTCTCAGATTCCATAAAAAATATCTTAATTTGTGTTTCGAAGATGAAGGCTTTATGGGTTTGGAACAACATGAGGGTGAGTAATTAATGACAGAATTTTCATTTTTGGGTGAAGTAACCCTTTCAGCTCATAAAATACATTTACATGAGCAGCATTTCATAGTCAAGCTGAAGTCTCCATTGGTCTGTCCAGGTATGCAAAACATAACAGAATATTTCAAATTTCAAATAATGAAATATATATCAGATCATGTGCTCAATGCTGAGCCCAACTGTAGTGTGATTAATGTGTATAAACATGAACAAAGTCAAACTACGATCACATTATCTATATCTGTAAATGTAATTTCACAAAAAAAAGCACTAGTACATTTTCAGTTAAAGGAGTTTACACAACTTTTTAAAACATACAATTTAAGGAGAAGTGCTCCTACTGGCTCAATAATTTGGTCGCAGTAGTTAACAGCCTACTAAATGGGATGGTTTTTATATTTCAATTGGATAATACTTTAATTAAATAACCCGGCATAAATGTATTCACATTGCCAGAATTATTTATTTTTGTATGTGTGTGTGCAGTGCTTAATTTGTAAATGAAACATTGCCGGATCCAAATCAGCAGTTAAAAGGCGCCGTGACCGACACTGACAATACAACTTCAGTTTTCCCGGAACATTCAATGATGTCACTAAACGGTGATGACACAACTATAAGTGCATCGTTCACAAGTTTCTGCATGGACCTAACTATACAGCCTAGGTTTTCAAACCATGGGTCAAAAATAGGTCGCCAGGATGATTTAAGGCAAATATATGTAAGTTACATTAAAAATAATAAAATGTGTTTCCATAAAAATAAAATACAATCATAATATATATATAAAAAAGGTATAAATATGCGAAATATATCTGACATAAATAATTAACAGATATAAAACAGATGTGAGGCGCGGCGATCCGCAAACAAGTTCACGGAAATGAAAACCGAGAACTGAGTTGACAGAACGCGCATCCTGTTTGTTTGCTTAATTACAAAAACACAAATGTTCTTTTTATTGCGAGTGTGCAAAAATAAAAGTAAACATTTACATTTAGTCATTTAGCTGACGCTTTTATCCAAAGTGACTTACAAATGAGGACAATGGAAGCAATCAAAATCAACAAAAGAGCAATGATACGCAAGTGCTATGACAAGTCTCAGCTTAACGTAGTACACGTAGTACTCAGATTCTTAAGCTGAGCAGCATGTACAGCATTACAAAAGTTTATTCACGGCCGGGAGCAAACTGGTCACAACAACCAAGAGAGACTCCTGAGCAGAAAGATACATGTACATTTAACCTTTACAGCTGAGGAAAAAAATCTAAATCACTCAAATAAGACAGATAGACAGATCTAATGTTTTAGAGATTTTATGCATAACAAGATATTGATACAGCATCTAAGCACAGCAATTATAAGTTAGTGTAAATAAGTAATGCCATGAATGCATTCATATGCTGAAAAGCTACTTTCCCAGCAACATTTAGTTCATGGATACAATATAAAGACTAACACGTGCACTTACAATACATTTCATGAAATTGAAACGAGTTCTTATATGCAATACACAAAAACAGCTCTAAGCATGTTGAGGTTTTATGCATAACAAGAATAAGTTAGAGCTTCAATGCACAGCAAGTGTAAGTTAGGTGTATCAAAGCAAAACCATGCATGCATATAATGTAAAGCTTTTTTTACCAGTGAGAGATAGTTCATATATGCAGTAGAACAACTAATGCTTGCACTTATTGAAAATGTTTCATGCATTTGAAAGCAGTTGTATGCAATGCAAAAAGACAGTTCTAAAGAGTTAGAGGTTTTATGCATAACAAGAATATGTTAAAGCTTCTATGCACAGTAAGTGTTTATTAGTGTTCCTAAGCAATACCATCCATGCATGCATATGCTGTAAAGCTTCTTTCCCAGCGAGATATTTGATGTTTAGGCATGCATACACTATAACGACTTTTACTTGCACTTACTGAAAATGTTTCATGCACTTGAAAGAAGTTCTTGTATGCAATACAAAAAGAGAGTTCTAAACAGTTAGAGGTTTTATGCATAACAATAATATGTTAGCGATTCTATGCACAGTAAGTGTTTATTAGTGTTCCTAAGCAATACCATGCATGCATGTAATGTAAAGTTTCTTTCGCAGCGACAGCTAGTTCATGTATGCAGTATAACGACTAATGATTGTACTTACTGAAAATGTTTCATGCATTTGAAAGCAGTTCTTGTCTGCAATGCAAAAAGACAGTTCTAAAGAGTTAGAGGTTTTATGCATAACAAGAATATGTTAGAGCTTCTATGCACAGCAAGTGTAAGTTAGTGTATCTAAGCCATACCGTGCATGCATATAATGTAAAGCTTCTTTCGCAGCGACCGCTAGTTCATGCATGCAGTTAAGAAAGTAAAGCTTGCACTAACTGAAAATATTTCATGCATTCGAAACGACTTCTTATTTGCAATGCATAGAGCAGCAAGAGTTAGACCATGCATGCAGGATATTGACTAATACTTGCAATTACTGAAAGTGTTTAATGCTTTTGAAACTAGTTCTCATATGCAATGAAACGAGTTATCATATGCAATGAAAATAGACAGTTCTAAAGTGTTAAAGATTTTAAGCATCACAACAGTTTTAGTTAGTTTTAAGCATCACAACAACAGTTAGTTGATGCATGCAGTATAGAAAATGCTTTCACTAACTGAAAATGTTTCATGCATTTCAAACGAGCTCTTACACGCAATGCACAAAGACAGTTCTTAACAATTAGAGGTTCTATGCATAACAAGAATGTGTTAGAGCTTCTATGCACTGTAAGTGTAAGTTAGTGCAGCTATCTAGACAATACCATGCATGCATGGCAAAGCTTATTTCCCAGCAACAGAAAAGCTTGCACTAGCTGAAATTGTTTCATGCATTTGAAACGACTTCTTATTTGCAATGCATATAGACACTTTTCGAGCAAAACCATGCATGCATATGCTGTAAAGCTTCTTTCCCACGAGAGTTAGTTCATGCATGCAGTATAACAACTAATACTTGCATTTACTGAACCTGTTTTATGCATTTGAAACGAGTTCTTATATGCAATGCAGACAGACAGTTCTAATGGTTTAGAGATCAAAAGCTCAAAAAGCTTTCAAACGCATTAAACACTTTCAGTCATTTACATTTACATTTAGTCATTTAGCAGACGCTTATATCCAAATCGACTTACAAATGAGGACAATGGAAGCAATCAAAATCAACAAAAGAGCAATGATACGCAAGTGCTATGACAAGTCTCAGCTTAACGTAGTACACGTAGCAAGGTTTTTTGTAATTATATAGGCCTAATCAATAAAAAGAAAACAGATAGAATAGAAAAAGAATAGAGCAAGCTAGTGTTAGAGGCCTTTTTTTGCTTTTGTTAATTGTAAAATACATAAAAAGAAAAGAAATAGAATACAAAAAGAATAGATAATCTAGTGTTTGTTTTTTTATTATTATTATTAATTCTTTTTAACACTTTGCGGGTTGTCTTTTACTCTTATCTGTATGACCAAAAATTGTCTGTATGACAATTTACTGTGTCAGCTGTTTGATCGCGCTGGCGCCTCGCGCGCATGCGCGCACACACACACACACACACACACACACACACACATCACATATTCTATCCATTCAAACTTGCCATCGCAGTCTGTTCATGCCAAAGAGGATGATTTTTTTCGTCGATATGCGAACGTGCATGAAGCCTAGTCTACATTATAAATAATAGTTTAACATTGAAATACATTTCGGATATGGAAACATTGGATTTGTGCTGAATGAGAGAGGTACGTGAGACCAACGGTACTTTCAGTTTCACTTTGTTTTGACTTCTTTAGTTTTATATATTTTTTTCATTCTTGATCTGTTCTGCATACCGTTACATTTAAATGATTTGTTTTGGAGTGAGGGGAACTAGGCTATGATTATAGTGTTTATAATGTTTATACATTATAATATTTAACTTTATTTGGTATTATTTCTGGTATTTCTGGTATTACACTCTCGCCAAACGTTCCGCTGCTCACAAAAGAGTGGAGAGAGTGGGTTAAGCAGTAGCACCAATCAAGCAGAGCGATTTTGAATTTAAGAAAGCTGATTGGTCAATAATATGTTGAGGACCAATACATAATCTACAAATCATGCTCCAAATACATAAACCCGCAATCGCTCTGTCTCGTATGCACGCAAGCACTGCCACGATATGCACTTGTTAATGCTGGATCTTTAAAAACAAATACCGGAAAGCAATAATCCAAAAAATGACATTTTCCGGAACAGGAATCCGGCAGGATCCGGCTCAAATTAAGCACTTTGTGTGTGTTAAGATGAATCAGTAAGATTCAATCAGTCTTCACACTGATGCTCTTAGCAGACAGATAAGAAGGACTCTCTTCAACTCAAAACCATGCTAATGCTTTTGAAGGCAGTCTCTTTGTGTCTTTTCTCTTCCACCTGACACTTTAGATATTACAGATGAAAGACACGTCATTATGAGGGGATGATGGGAAATGAGGTATAGAGAGAGAGAGAGAGTGTGTGTGAAGGAAAGTCAACAGCACCTATTCGGAGAGTCTCTTTTCATCCTCTCTTGAGCGATCTATGACACAACGGGCTTCTATTTTTTCATTTGTATAGACTCTAATGATTTTTCCTTTGCCTCTTCTAACAAGACACATAAAGTGTTATCATTTTGCTGATAATCATCATGCTGATATTTTGCTGTGATTAATATATTTGCACACAACTAAACAATTGTTGGTTAAAAATGACTATTGACTTCAATTTGGGGTCCTCAGCTCAATAATTAAGCGAGTTTGTTTAATTAAAGTTTAGAAACGGAAAGAAATCAATCAAATATTTGCCATGTGAAATGTAATATCTTTACAGATTGAGGCTGTTGATTCCAGACTTAGTGATCACCAGCCAAAACCTGCCGGCATTTCCAGAGCTACAAAGTGGAAAAACAACACATGCTGCTGAACAGAATGCATAAGTATCTGGCTTTGATCAGGAAGAGAGACGAGAGAGCAGGCATGAAGGACAGAAAGAGAGTGAAGAGAGGTTTAGTGGTCTCCTCCCTAAACTAGACCAACTATATATTACATATTGTAGCACAGAGGCATTCACCTTTCAAAACACACACACACACGCACGCACGCATCAGGGTTGAGCAAAGTTTGGAATTCCGAATGGGTTCCTTTTCAGTTCACGAGTTTGAATTTGAATTGATTTGAGCCTCACAGGGTGTTGAATTTGGAGTTTGAAGAGGAATGTTCTGAATTTAAAGTTACAGCAACAGAGGAATTTCATTAACCCAACACATTTACATCAAAACATAACTGGATCATTAATTACTAATTATGCATATGTTTTCTCAACATGCTTTCTCAAATTTCTCTGAACTAAGCCCAATAGTGTAAAATTAACATAGCCATCAAAGCATTTTTTCCCACAAATGTTTCTATGCAGCACCACA